TGACGAATCCACACATGGAATTGAAAAGTTTAAGAGGTTTTAAAAAAGGGTTTTTCTACTTCTGTCAACACTGAAATTTAAGTCAAAATATTCACCAGAATTAACTTATACAGAGCTGTGGAAAAGTACTTGCTCTCTTCCCGATCTCTTCAATTTTTGCATATTTGTCACTCTTGAATGTTTCAGATGAGCAAATAAATTTTAATATTAGACAAAGATCATCCAAGTAAACACAACGGAGCGTACGCTGTTCAGGATCAATTGGATCTCGGAAATTGGTGGCCTTATTTTTAATGCGTGGTTCCAGCATTGCTAGCAGTGTATCGAACTGGACCACTGACATCCTGTAATAAAGCTGGAAACGGTCGGGATAATTCCACAGGTCCTTTCTAAGCAGGTGAAACTCCCCCTGCTCTGGACGCCGTCTGAGGATTGGATGGACCCAATATTTTCTTTTTCTTTTTTAAAGAAGCGACAGGACTACAAAATCATCATCACTGCTCGATGACTCCATTCTGCCTCGTATTGCGAATTTTCGAATAGAATTAAAACGCATCGGACTCAGTGTGCAAGGTTTCTGTGCGTAACGATTTTTATCGGATGACAGATTAAAATAACGTTTACGGAAAAAAAAACGGACTTGGTGTGCAAAGGCCTTTATTGTCAATTAAATGAATGATTGAAAACAGGCCATGACCAATCATTAATTTAAAGGGATTGTTTGAGCTGCCCCTATTGCCAGTTCACGAGCCGCCACTGACACTGATACATACACGTACAGTACATGAATATGCGTGCATTAGGCCCACCGCCAAATGACCGTAGATACAGGGTATTCATTTACAATAAATATGACTTTTTACATGAACATCAATAAATTTGTTGTCAATGTCGCATTTGTATGCATGTTTATCAACGACAGACAAAGTCATACGATGCAACCAGTGGCGGTCCGTCGGCAGAAACACAGGGCCAGCAATAACTTCACCTTTCACCGCTTAATGACCTACACCTCTTGCAGTTTACCTATCCCGATTAGCAAGAGTTGCTCAGACTAATTGGTAGAACTGACGAGAGTCTAATTTATTTTTCAAAGTCTTGTTATACATTGCACTACGAAATTATACGCCGTTTTCTTCCGCACATCAATGACTACGAAAAATATCAATATGTCTTTATAATTTCTGTGCTCATGTAGCTAGTAAAACAGCAGAGATTTGCGTAAATTAGTTTGTGAGGCTCGTTGAGCAATAAGCCACGAGAATCTGTTCTACAGTATAGCTCGTTAATCACCCCCTTAAGCTGATCGACGACAACTTGATCATTTGAATCACCTGTGCTGGAGCAGGGAGAGATCTAAAACATGCAGGACAGGTGGGCCTCCAGGAGAGGTTTGGGAAGCACAGATATAGAGGAAATTTGGAGGGGTGCTTTTTCACAGCGCTGTAGATAGAGAAATGTCAGAAAAAAAAACCAAACCTCATTTTATTTTTTGCCTTTGTTAGCTACACTTTTATTGAAATCAGGCCTGCCTTAGTTTTTTTATGCTCAAATTAGAGGAACCCCTGGGGGACTGGGAACAACACAAGGCCTGTTGGTGATCATAATGCCATCATTAGCCAACAAAAACTGTGTCAACCAGCTGTGTTGGGCTTTGTTCTGTACCCAAGCTCCCTTTAAATGCATTCAAAAACTATTTCTCACACATTTCTAAGTCTTGGCCCGTACTTAAATGACATTTATTGCCCTTGTTAATATGGATACTCTTTTGGCAGGCTATGCAAAGCGCTGAACTGTCGAGATGTGAGGAGATAGATGAATTCAGCAGATAAGAACAGTGTTATTATAGCAGTCAGCTCAGGCGGCGATGGTACTGACAAACTGGAGCTAAATCCCAGCCCAGGCCGTTAGTTTGATCACATTTTGGTACCCTTGGCTTCTTTGCAATTCAACCTTCTAATTTTTGGTGGTTGAGATGTTGTTTCACAACTGACCCCTGCTACCATTTTTTACTCAACCCTGTTCTGTGGTATCAGCCGGCCTGCAAGTTTATATTTCAACCCAATACTGGCATGCCTGACCGTGAAAATTAGCAGCACAGCTTGCTCTGTGGCCGAGGAATAAAGTGTTCTTGCATATCTCCAGGGTTGGGCTAATCCAGGGTAAATTTCCCAAAAGCTTAGTGTCTAACTATGTTAGCAACAACTTACATAGATTGACTATATACGGTCAATGGTTACAGCTATGGAAGTTAGCAACTCAGCTTTTGGGAAACGTACCCCTGGTCTTGCCGTTGAATAAGGTGTGTTTGGCAGGATTGTTCTAAAAACCTACAGAATGGCACAACTCCAGGAGCAGTTTTTGGGACCCCACTCTACCTGTGTGCTTTGATAAGGGTTGAAGTGAAAACCTACTCTGTAGTTGATTTCCAAGAACAAGGTCAGTAACTGAGGCTACTAACTCATTTTTGCTCTCTCGCTGGAGTGCCTGTATGTCACTGCCTCTTCGGCGAAACAAATGGCAGTCGCTCGCTCCACCTGTCATCTGACACAGGGTCTCTTTTAGTGAGCGACGGTAGGCCGCTCGCTCGCGCGAACGCCGTGACATTAAAGGGAGCCATCGGTCTTGGGTAATTGGGAATGTGCGCCCTGCTCTGTCTTTGCCATCGTTTTTCTGTCAAGATGAGAGCCGCGTTTCGGTTTCGAGAAGTCCCACAGGTGTTTCGGTCTGTCCTACCTGTCTCTCTACCCTCCAGTTTTCTCAATCTCTCTCTCTCTCTCTCTTTCTCCCTTCTCTCTGCTGGAGCTGAAACATGTCTGCTTCTTTTTCTTTTCCACTCTAATGGCAGAAAAATCTCAGTAATAAACTCTGAAATATGATACAGTTTTTAGTGTTAGACGGCGGTGAGGTGTATTAGAAATGTCCTACTTGTCTGCCTAGAAGCAGCTAAAGCCTGATGCTATCTGATGCCAAGGTCTTCAAGCAGTGCTGAGAAGTTGGCAGAGCTGTGAAGAGAATAAAGGAAGAAACCAAGGCTAAGGGAAAATAGTCTCAGGCTTTATACTGTCGACTTTTTTTTACTGTAGACTTTGTGCTGTGGAAGTATTTCAGTCCAAATGGATGGAAATTAAAGGAAGCTGTGAAGTCTTCAAGTCGCAGAAAAGAAGTAATCTATTGTGCCAAAAATGATGAGTGCATTTGGACCGTATCTGTCTTTGTGAAGACCAAGACATGGCCACTGTCCATTCCACTTGGATGATAAACACAGAGGCTGACTGAGCTGTGTTTGGCTGGAGGCTGCGTTGGACGAACAAACCAAAGTTGATTTCCATGCTTTTTTGGAGCTGGAAAAAAGTTCTCGTCACAAGCATCCTACTGTTTTGTATGACTTGCCTGTTTATCTGAATTTGTAATCAGGATTTAATTAGTTCAAGGGTCACTTTCAGACACTGATGTTTCCCTTGCATTATGGAGTTTTTGTGTAGAGGATATCTGTTCAAAATTTACTTTAGCGTAAGTCTCAGCTCTTTCTTTGCGTAAATGAAAACATCATTACATAGGCTCCAAATATCTTTTTTTCATGAGGTGTTTCTGCTTTTTTTTTAACCATTAGAGCACTAAATGCAACTGGGCAATTCCGAGGTATTGTCAACCAAATGTCCCCTCCGTGAAAAACACTAAAATGATCCCCAAATGGAAATGGAGGGGAAAATGGAGCTTTTTCCTTCCGAATATTGTAGTGCACTATTAGACCCATAAATTGTGAAAAAAAAGAAAAAGTTTTTAATACATTTTTTTGGGGGGACGGTTTAGTGTCTCGTCACGGAAGGCACATTTTGTTAAAATACCACGGAATCACCCGACTATTGTTACTCAATGATGTAAGATTTCAAAATCAAAGCTGTTGAAAACCTATTATGTGGCGACTTGTGTAAGAGAGCTCCTGCATTTTTAAAAAATTTTTTTCAGCGCTGTAAGGGTTAATTCCACACCCTACAGATCTATACCCTGGATATTTTTGCCACCGTGTCACCTGCACTCTAATGAAGGGTTTCAAGGCAGAACGAGACATATTCCACAAAACGAATTTGGAGAAAATTAACATTCTTGCCTTCCTCAATCACATGGTGTCTTTCATTGTTAATTAAAATTACTTGACAGTAATTTACTTTAATTAACTTTGTTAATTAATATTAACCAAGTGAGACAACACTTGACTGAGGAACATAATGTAAATTTTCTCAAGAGTAGCTTTCGGCAAGCTGGCATGTAGCATTTTGCCCTGAAACCCTTCATATTTACTTGACGCTGTCTGAACAGTACACCTGCCTACTGGTGAAACGAAGCTCCTCTCCAGCGCTTTTTTATTACATATACTCTCAAGGCCATGGAAGATTTTGGGAAAATGAAATCATATGAATGTTGAAAACGTTTTTTCCCAGAGAATTTGACTCATAAGCTTCTCAAGATCAAACAGCAATGCAAAAATTCCTCTAGAAGTAAGGCATGAGCCTTTTTTAATAATGAACTGGAATGCTACGGAGACCGGTTATTTTTAAACATCCATCTCAAGCAGGAATAGTTGGGGAGGACCGTCGTTAAGTAAATTATGATTGGATTTCTGTAATGAACAGAGTGCAGTCGACTCGAAAGGCCCTGCCAAACAAAACTGGTTCCTCGCCAAAAAATGTTCAAAAATACGCTTGTCACGAGAGTGTTGTCGACAGCGTCTCGGTTCACTTTCCAGCGTAATGAAGCGTCTCCTGACTTGCAGGAACTTCCTCTGATACAGGTGGCTCTAAGGGGGAAATATTAATATTTGTTCTGTGTCTTGAGGGGGACTGATTGTGCAGATGTCTAAACTCCATCTAATGATGTCTCATTATTTTAGAGTGCTCCACTAAGGGGAAAATATCTTAAATTAATATGGTTTGAAAACTGGTAAATTACACCAGATGGGGTTGGGTACAGTTTTGGAATTCACAGTCAGTGACGTGGGTGGTACAGTGGTGCAGTGGGTAGCACTGCTGCTTCAATGCCAGAAGGTTGTGAGTTTGAGTCTGGCCTGAGGCCTTTCTGTGTGGAGTTTTCAGTCTAAAGCCATGCATGTCAGGCTTATTGGAGACTCTAAATTGCCCATAGGTATGAGTGTGTGAATAACTGGTGTGTGTGTGCTCTGGGATGGATTGGCACCCTGTCCAGGGTGTGTCCCTGCCTCTCGCCCCCAGTCAGCTGGGATAGGCTCTGTAAACTAGAGAAGATGAAGTAATATAGATAATGGATGGATGGATTCAGTGATGTTTACAAGCACTAAGACAATGGCGTAGCGTTCATTTATTGGTGCTGTGCTCTAGAAAAATGGTTTTGAAAATATTGGATAAATTCAAGGTTAAATTAAAGACAGTCAGCTGTAAATTTTTGTATTCATATTACATATCATATAAATTTTATATATGTTTTGGTATTTTCTATTATTATTTTATATGCGTTTTACAGTGTTGCTGGCCACATACTTTAAGATGTAACTTGCTTGCAGTTTAAGGACAGGCTGAAATTAAACTGCAGTTTAAACATTAACAGGGATCATTTGTGTATTATCTAACAAGCGTTTCCATAAAGCAGGCTGGCGATACCCTTACCTCGCTCATCTCCGGAGCACGGGCCTGAATAGAGGCTGTTAAAATTGCATGCACGTAACTAATTACAGAAACAATCAGAGGTGTGATGGATGGAATTAGCGCCAGCGACCGAGGGGAATCGTGGGCCACATTTCAGCTTTGAGCAAAGTCATTTCAGAGGGTGGAGCCAATGCAAACCGTATAATCCCTCTTATCAATCCACGGATTACTGCTGTCGTGCAATATAGCCAACCTTATGCAGGGACAACGATCATGAAAAACTGAACTTTGTTTGAATTTGAGTGGACTAGTTGGTTTAAGGAGGTTTCTCATGTTTCCATTAGCCTGGGGATGATTTATGCTTGTGCTTTTTCACTGACTAAAAGGAAAGTGAAGGGCCCATTCAAATACATTTGTGACTTCAAAAAATTACAGTGGGACTCCTATAATTTTACACTTTCAAAAATCCTTTTGAATGTAACTGCTATTAATTTAAAGTACTATGGTAAAGCATGTTGAAGCCTTGCTTGAATGCAGATTGCAGATTTGCTCTCCACGTCAGAGCTCCCCAATTACGTGGTAATAGAAGTTTTTAATGAATATATTGAATGGCACTTTCAGTGGCATGATGGCCCTTAAGCTTTCGACTGAGTCACTGAGAACCTGAGATCGACGTTACAGCTCTAGGAGACATGATTTGGCGCACCTACATAAGAGCTGTCATGTAAGGATGCTCAGTGAAATTCAAAATGATCTTTGGCATTCCCGTGGCCCTCTATTACAGGAGTTAAGCTGCAGCGTTAAATGATGTTGATTAAGTATTTTGGGAAGAGGCAGGCTTCAGTCCTGAGGTAATTAAGTCTCATGAAGGCCCGGAGGAAGAAATGTGGCTTGACAGACAAACTTAATCTTTAATTATACAAGGTAGGGAGACTGTTCACAATTCACTGCAAACCGTGGTAACCACTGCAGGTAACCCAAGCTGCAAGCGTTTGTTCTGGAGGAGCAGTAAGGAGTAAACAGTATTAACATGAGACGGGAGAACATATAAATTCCAAGAAGAAAGGCCACAGCTGGCATTCAACCTGAGGACCACCGGGGACCTCGCTGGAGGTTTGAAGTTCATGGGTCACAAAAGCCGTGTGTCCACCAAACACTTTCAGTAGCTACTTTACCGTTAAAACCAGTTCGCAAACTGTACGGACCGGTACCAAAACCCTGGAGCTGGTTTGCGCTTTCACCGAAGACAGTACTCTTAAATTTTGGCGGGGTTGTTATTGGATGGTAATTGCTCCATCAACCACACTCTTGGCGGTTTTGTGTTTATTCCTTGTCGAGCAAGAGTGGTGCTTTTCTCTGGACCTCTCTCTCAACTGACTTTCTAGCTGTAGCTTTTAGTATCGGATCGGCGCGCTAGTTACCTAAACAGAACTAGAAAAGGGGAGTTGCATTTTTAAGGAAGTCACTGAAATATTCACTGAAGATGATGACTGGACTCGGACGCTTGCTTGGAAGGGAGTAATGAAATGACTACAGCATCGCACTGCTTTGTGTCACTCCAACTCTGATAAAGCACACATCATTCAACAGCAAGAGCATGGCTGCTTAATCCTGTTTTTGAAATCTGCCATCATGCAGGCTGTCACTCCAACACTAACAAAGCAGATTTTGACAACAGATAGAGATAATCAGCAAAATTGGGTGGGCCAATTAGGATTTTAATCTCCGGGATTGGTGGATCTCCATGTACAGGGTTGGGCAGCCCAACTCTGGGTGGAACATGGGGAAGGAAATCATTTTTTTTTTTGCTTCTTCAGCCATCATGCTCTGCTTTGTATTAGTGAGATCTCTGTCCCATGTCTATTTGTCTCCTCCAGAGCCACTGTTAAGATGTGTCAGTGGCCCTCCAGCAAAATCCACTCAACTGCTCAGCTCTAAAAACTCTTAAAAGTGTCCAGTAATTAACACTCTAACTCTGATGAGCATGTTTTAGAGTCAGAGAGGTCCCCACTGTCCCCTCTCATCTCGGCCCTGCTTCAGCGGCCTGTTCCCCGTCATTAGTCTTGTTGCATTTTAAGTAACGGGGAAAGTGGATCCAACTGAATCTATCTCACAGCTGTATTTTCACTCAAGGTGATTTAGTTAAGGATCTGAATCATAATTAATTATAATTTCCCCACAGGTGTTAATTTAGGAGACTTGATTTGGAATCGTCTGTGTTTTGAGTCCCTGTAGTCTTTGTTAAGGAATCCCTGTGAGGTTCTTGGGAAAAATAAATAAATAAATAAATAAATAAATAAATAAATTATTAGTTAGTAAGTAAATAATAAAATTCATTTTAAGAATAGTTTGTTTACGTTTCCATATTCTGAGGTTAAATTTTATCAGGTAAACTGTTTCTGTTTTTGGCCTTTGTAATGTTCTGATGGTGTATTATTTAACCCTTTCAGCACCGTGGGCAACTATAGTTGCCCAATGATGTAAGATACCAAAGTCAGATGCTGTTGAAAACCTATCATGTGCCACATGATAGGTTTTTTGAAAACAATCATAGGATAATTACATTTTTAATTCCTTTCCAGAATGTATTTTATCAGGTAAACTGTTTCTGTTTTTTGGCAGTGGGTTAATTGTATATCCTTATGAATCCCAAATTATGAACTTCTGGCTGCAGTATATAACATTGGTTGAGGAACTGTGGTTATAGTAACTCCATGGTGGTAAGCTTGTTTACCAAACTGCGCATGGCACTTCAGTATTTATTGAAAGTTTGTGGATGTATGTGACCTACATCCATCTCTTTTATTTGCCAGTTGACAGCCATTTTGTAGTATTTTGACTGAATTATGAGGTTGTTGAGTTTTGAGGGAATGAAACTCTGCTTCCATTACAGTCAGTCATCTCCACAGTCTCTCACACGTGGACAGTTTTGTTGTCAGCTTGTAAAAGTTTTTATTTCAGCGGTTTTCTCCATACGCAGTTGTGCACATGTAGGATAGTCCTCTTATTTCCCTCTCAAGAAGACGTTACATCTTCTTTTACTCCTTGAAAAACAATTTGGTTCCAAACGCAAACCAGAAACGCGAACTAAAGAGATAAATCAATGCGTGTTTCCTTCAGTTATTCAGATGTGGTCTGGCATCATGCCTCAAAGCTGTGGATTTTTTTTTTATACTGTAGCCAAAAACAGCTCAGAATTTTCTTTAAAAAAAATTCATAGTAATGTTTCAAAAACCTACTGATATGTTTTATCAGCAAAAACCAGAAAACAAATGCGGAATAGCTTCTTCAAAAGTACCTGTAGGGCCAAAGGATTTTCCGTTGCATTGAAGCTTGAATTGAATTTCTGTGCATAAGAGGAACTCAAGGTCAAATTTAAAAGCTTTGGAATCGATGGCTTTCCCTTACTTGGAAAGAATGTGTTATTTAAGCGACTGATTTAAATAAAGAAAGCTGAGGAGTTGCGAAACAATGAGGGAAGGTACATTTTTTTTGACGATACATGTTGTATTTATTCCATATAACCTGGAAAGTCACATACTGTAAGACTATTGTCGCAAATTATTATTTCATGAATTCATATAATGTAAAAACTGTGTATTATGTAATAAAAATGTAATAAAAATAATAACAATAACCTACCTATAATGTAGTAAAAATGGTCAATGCATTAACATAATTACTTTTTGCACATAATATAACTTCATTTTTTTGCATTTTCTTATGACATTATGATTTTATTGGCAAATGTGTGACGTGCAAAAAGTTACGCGCTAAGCATTTTTATTGCGTTACAGGTTGGTCACTGTATTGTAAGTTATTGCTTGAGTGATTTATTGCATTAAACGTACTTATTGTGTACTTTATCACAATATGAGTCACATTAAAAACTCTCTTGTGGGGTTGACCTATGGAATGACAGGGGGAGGGCGAGCAGGCATTACATTGAGTCAATAATCCGATAATAAGACGAGACTTGATGGCTAAATACTGTATAGAGGGCCACTTCTGTGCAAATTTGAGCAGGAAAGCCATATTTTACAAGTATTATGAAGTCATACATTGATGGTCCTGAATCAGGAGCTTGGTTCAATATCATATTTCGTCACCCTAGTAAAATAATGGCCTAAGTCATTTTTTTCAAGTTTTTGGGAAAACACAAAAAACTTCGCCTAATGCAGAGCAAGAGATGATTTAGGGCAAAAACTCATTTTCGTCAAAAAATGACTTAGGCCATTTTTTTAATAGGGTGACGATTTGATATATGGCACGTTCTAACTGACATGACATCGCCATTACTATGATTTGACACCTGTCATGAACATCAACATGACTGATGTTCATGACTCTTGTCATCAAGTGTGATTTGGGTGAAGGCAAGGGCTTGGTTTAGGGTTAGGGTCGAAGACATTGACAAGTTTTGATGTCTTGGTTAATGTCAAGTTGTCATAACAG